GAGAGAGAGAGAAAGAGAGAGAGAGAGAGAGAGACCGACAGAGAGACAGAGAGAGACTTAAAGAGACAGAGAGAGACTTAAAGAGACAGAGAGACTGACAAATATTATCTCATCTTCTACTCCACTTCGTAGGCTAGGTTAAGTTCAGACTTGCATCCCCATCCAACTGTAAACGACATAAACGCGCTATATACCGAGGCCTCATTCCCTCTGTGCACAACACCAACGGGACAGGGTATGGAAATGTCGAAGTTGATAGTTCAAAACTCCACTCACACTTTTTTCAATCTCAGTTAACTTATCCACTCCCCCTCTCCTGTTCTCTGATTTACAAAAATAAAGTATGTGGTTTCTTCAATTGGTGTAGCATTTCTATTCACTTTCTTTCCTTCTTCCTTCTTCTTCACACAAGATATCTAAAGAAACAAAAAAATCAATTTTGATAGCCCAAACGGGTATATACAGTCTCTTTACCATTATGTTGCAGACTTGTGTAGAAGAAACTAAAATTATACACACACACATACACAAATACACAAATACACACACATACACACATACACACATACACACACATACGCACATATAGTATTATGGTTATGGGTTATTGTATAGTCCAAACGCCCCTTTCATCATCACTGCAGGGTTATGTAAGACTAGTAAGAGATGAGACTTCAGAGTTTAACCTCCATTCTCGATGAAGCCAAACCAAATAAGTGGAAAGCCTTAAAAAAAAACAACTTTCCAAAACAACCCGCGGTCAAGAACGTTCTTTTGGGAATACAAACCAGGGCTATTAAGTGCAAAGTTCAGCACGATACCAACCGAGCTAATGAAGCGTTCACACATAAACTGTAAATGATATGAAGCATACACAGGATAAACAGAACTTTTTCTGTCCGTCAGTCATTATTATAATAATATCATCAGGATAAAAGTAGAAGTAATGAAAAAGAAGCCCAGGACAAGAATTGCAGTCTCAAACACCTAGGGGAAACATTTTGGAAGCTATAACAGTCATTACGGTTCTCTCACACCAGAGAGCTTTTTACATCAACGTATTAATATTGTAACTCTTCGCGGACTTTTCTCCCCGAGATCGTCTACTGGATCCGGCCTTGTCAAACATTTCTCTCTTTGACATTTCCAGTCAGCGAAAGTAATCATGGTGCAAGCACTTCGTCTTCCTCTTTTCCGAGCATCGCTTCATTCGAGTCTGCTTGTCTACTCCTGTCCTTGTCTGTGTGTCTGCCTGTCCATTGGCTTGTACCTCCCTCAATTTTTCGTCTCTCCCTCAACCCCTTTCATTTTCTCTATTTATCTCTCTCACACAGAGAGACACACGCATACACCTATACACTCACACGTACACACATATACTCTCTGTCTCTGTTTCCCTCTCTCTCTTTCTCGCTCTCTCTCTCTCACTCACACATTCACAAACACACATACACACAAATATTAACTCACAAACACATTCACGCACAAGCTAACACATACACACACACACACACACACACACACACACACACACACACACACACACACACACACACTAATACACACTCAAATAAAAAAGAAACATTTCAAATAAAATTAAAAGAGAAATATGGACAGAAAAGCAAATATAACAAAAAGAAAAAAAGGGAACCTCATAGAATCAAATACACGAAAGAAACCACGTCGGCCTCTATCACGTGAGGGCAGACGACACATGCCCTAGACAACCAGAGCCCCTGGTTGTAATGTTTACTTAAGAGGAGAAAAAAAAAGGAAAAGAAGAACATTGGACTTTGAGACAGTCCAAGTGTTCTGACCGGCCTGTGATGTAGCGTATGGCGGTTCGCCGTCGCCCTCAGAAGAACCTAGTTCAAGTCCTGTGTGGGAAGAATTTTTATCTGCAAGGCTTTCTATAAGGATATTATATCTCTCTCAACCTGTCTGGGTTGGCCCGGACAGACAGGGTCAAAGCCTGTCAATTAATAAATGACCCAAATCACTGTTTGCTAGCCTGGACGTTATCGACCAGAAGTGGGCGATTTGGTGATTTTGGTGGGCGGTGGGGATCTCCCGGGTGGTGACAGGTGTTATTGAATGTCACGCTTTGAAATACATTTAAGTGGGTGGTTCGAAAAAGTTTAGTTTAGTTTTAGTAGAGGTTTTACGGCGCTCACAACTGCATAAGGAAAACGTTTGCCTCTTAAAAGTGGCAAAAGTGGGCACTGACTACAAAAAGGTTAATAAGCACTCATGTAAATTGTGTCGATAGTGGAGTAAAACATCTACAAAAGCCCCACCCAC